TTTGCTAAGGCTTTTTAAATTCAACGCCAAAGATTGCAGCTCCGTTGCTCACTTTTAGTGGCTTAGCTACAACAAAAAAAATACCTCTGGCACCCCGCATACTAAGCGGCCAAGTCACATGTCGCTCTGCTCAAATAATCCCAATTTTCTTTCTATTACGTTCACTGGAAAGCTTTGGACTCAAACCGATTGTGCAAGATACCCGTTATTGGCCAGGATATACAGTATTCAATATGAAATAAAATGGGGGATAAAGAGAAGTTAACAAGCCACAGTTATCTCATCAATTCACCTTGCGTAGTTAAGCATTTATAACCCACCACCAGCAGGGTCCGAAATTAACTTTTTAAGGCAGGCGCCAACTGGCAACTGAAAATTTTTTTTCAGTCGCCATAGGGAAAAATTTGGTCGCCAAAAAGTGTCAATAAGATTTTTCCTTCGCAGCAAAATACAAACCAAAATTTTTGGTAGCCAGATGGAAAATTCTGGTCGCCAATTTTTCTTTTAAGAATCAGAACGAAGAGAATGCGTTTGGGGCCTCAGTGTCGATTTTTCCGCTAACGAATAAGATTAAATACAAACACGCTGATTATTTATACACCTACCACTGAAAAACCACGACGAACAAATCGAATGCTGGCCACATACGCAGTTTCATGTGACTGCCAAATGTTTCAAGTCAACTTTATACCTTTTCTTGTCTCTACCTTTTGGAGAAGAAATGTACCCAACCGAAAAACTGGCGTTTGGTTCTTTGCTCTATGTTCAAAACGATCTTTCCTTTAGCGTTCTGTCAAGACCACCCATGAAAATTCGTCTCTCCATTGGGGGTAGAAACTTGCATTTAGCTGACGACTTTTTGATTGGATGGTTTCCTTCCCCGTCCATATCAGCACATTTTTCCGTTCTTGCCAGCAAAATATTTGCAACGGATGTCATCAGGAATCAAACCAGTGCTGAAATCATCTTTTGACCACTTTGACAGATGCCCAGAGAATATCAAAATCTTCAACTAATCTCTCTGCGGATGTTCCG